TATATCTTTTCATGAGTGCATTTTTTGAACTTAAGTGATGAAGATTAGTTGTAGGGAATTGGATTCTATTCAAAATGAGCCTTGGATGAGAAATTTATGATAAAGTATGAGAAAGTTATGCCTGAGGAACTTTTGAGTTTTGATGAATTAGGAGCATTCCTTGAGGAATCATGATCAACCCTTGATAAAATGATGTATATTACTTCAAAATGTTGATGTTGACCAAAAATCTCGAAGTTTGGCTGTATGTGGGCCACAATTGACTTTTGACCTAGTATAGTTGATTTTTAGGCATTTGAGCAGTTGAATGAGCAAACTTCTTGTGCAAGGCATGAAACTTGGCATGGATAACCTTGAGGACATATTAGGGCAATGGAAACCACTTAGTACCCTTGGAACTCAAACATCTTGATGAGGGGTGAAACCCTAGTTTGAGGCTCATTGTCTTAGGAGGAAGATTTGTCTGACCAATCCTTAGTCAACTTGAGCAATTGAGGACCTCTAGGAGTATGTCTTGAGTGAAAATGGGAGGGCAAATTTTGGGGTACAACACCAAGCTTGCATCGAAAGAGGCCAAAAGGCCAATAGAAGGAGGCGAATCGAAGAAGACTTGTTTTTTCCCCAATTTTGTCAAAAATATTATTTTTTTATCTATTTTCCCCTTTTTAACAGCTTCCTCTTTAATTTGATGCTGAAAAATCCAATTGTACTTGCGCAAGCTTGAATTTTGAGAATCCTTGTGAGAAATGCCTTGAGAGATGAGAGGGAAAAATTTGGGTTACAACATAATGGAACACCTGTACATCCTTCGAATAGAACACATGTGCATCCTTCGAATGACCCTTCTGTGTGTCTTTCGAATAATGCGTATGTATGCCTCGTGCATTCTTCGAATGGTTCACCAATGTGGGCTCATAATGTGGAAATCATATGCTGAAAGGTTCAGAGATAGAGTTGACGCAAGCAGTTTCGAAGGGAACCATTGCCCAGTCTAAGCTAGCACAAAGGAAGCCAATGCCTTGTAGATGTTAGCACGAGGAGGTCATTGCTCTGTGAATCGAAGGCCAGTTGAAAGGGTATTGGCCTTGTGCATTGAAAGCAAGCACATGGGAAGCCCTTTCCCTTGTGAATGTTAGCATGAGAGGCTTATTTCTCTGAATCAAAAGCCAGTGAAAGGGGCCTTTTGCCTTGTGCATTGAAAGCAAGCACAAAGGAAGCCTCTGTCCTTGTGAATCGAAACAAACTTGTATGTGATTCTTGCTTTGTATGCTGAAGGCATGCACGGAGGGAGTATTTGCCTAGTGCGCTGAAGGCACGCACAAAGGGCACTGCTGGAATGATACTCGTGGACCAAAGCTTGCTCGAAGGGTGCCAAATATCCAATCGAAACTCATTAATCAAAGCATGATCGAAAAGTGTCAAACGCCCAATCGAAGTACCTTGTTCATAAGCCAAATCGAAAGATACTTGATTATCTTCAAAAATTTATTTTTTCTCTAAGCAAGTGTTTGTAACCATCTATGTAAGAGATAATCTTGGAAAACATGAGAGGGAAAATTTTGGGGGTACAACACCCCCATATGCCCCACACCTAACCACAATTTCAATCACAATACCAATACACCTGCATGCCCCACCCACAATTCCAGTCTTCTCCATATCCTAATATGGGCCACTCAACATCTAACCTTAGTCCTGATCTGGGATTTTCCAAAGAATATGACCCAACCGATCCAACTTACCATCAACCACCACATCAACAAAGCACCCAACATTCCCAATACCAATCACCACAAGATTCATTTCCTTTCTACCCCCATACTCAGACGACCAGTGCTATAGGCCAACCATGGAACCCCACCCACCACCAAGATGACCAAACTTTGAGGGTATGGGTAATCGACTGTACCAAAGCGGATCTTCTAGATATGAAGATCTGACCGATTTCATGGATCAGAGACACATTGAATTCGTTGGGCCATCGACCCTGCCACAACAAGAAACGTAACAAAATCCACCACAGGAAAGGCAAGGACGCGAATGCGGAATCGCGGGTCGTTACTGGGTTCCACGGGACCATTGATTATTTTATATTTTTTTATGTAATCGTTTTGTGTAAATAAAAAGTAGAATTTTCGTGATCTTATATCGTTTACGTAACGTCCCACATTTAAAATAAAAAACGCAAAAAAATCATCTCCCCTTTGCACTAAGGCGCCATCTCACTTGGCTTAGAGCACACTTTTAACACCTAGGCGCCAAGTGAGATGGCGCCTTCCCTATAAAATAAGATGTAGGCGCCAATTGAGATGACTCATCCTTTGTGGGGTTTTCTAAAACATGATTATTTGCGTAATTTTCTCCGAAACATGATTATTTGCGATTTTATTTTCAAAACCTGATTATTGCAAAAAGAATTCTAAGGTTTGTCATACCCTCCCCATCTTTCGTTGCTAATCACTTTAATATAGGAACAACTCTATATAGGGAAATTTTTAAGTTTATATTTCGTTTCACCGTAAAAACAATTGATTTTGTAGTATTGTTTTTGATCAAAAGTGAGTTGAATTTAAAGTGATTTATATTTAGATAATTTTATGTAAAATTGAGTTGAAGAGTAAATTTTTATGTAAAATCACATTTAAATTTAAAAGTTACAAATTCTAAAGAATCATTTCTAGAGACATAATTAATTTTATTTTAAAAGAATCGAACATCTCAAAATTATTCTAAAATCAATTTCACACCTTTAGAATTTCAACAATTTTATACTTTTACCTTTAGAATTTTGAATAATTTTAGACTTTTGCCATAATTAAGATTAAGCCGTGCAATCTTCAAGTTTATGCGAAGTTAATTTTGTTCTAAATTTTGCATTTTTCTTCTTTTAATTTTTCTTATAATTTGTTTAAGCTTGTGTTTCAATTATCCGTTAGAACTTAGGTTTTGAGTGACGAGGTACACAAATCACCTTGACATCACTAAATCAATTTGCGAAAAATTTTCATTTTCATTTTCATTGCATCCTTATATGTTCTCTCTGTTACTAAGCAAAATTTCTAAAATATTTCATATTTTTTTAAATATATATTTGAACGCACTAAATTCTATTTTTTTATAAAAATTTAATTTAAATATATCTCTCTAATTTTTTTTAAAGAGTAATTCAGAGATATATCTTCGAAAATATCATCCGTTTTTAAACAAAAAAAATTATTTCAATTCCATCAATTAAATTATATACTCAATAAATATATATAAATGTTCAACAAATTATATAAAAAACATTTTTTCAAACGGTTAAATATTTATATATGTTCAAAAATAATAATTATTCTCTGTACAAATATCCAATAATAATTATGCATATATAAATATACTTTTATATAGTGAATTAGTCAAGAAGTATAAAATATAAAATTATATGTGAATTAGTAAAAAAAAAATTATAAAATTACATGTGAAATATATATTAGTCAAGAATTGTTTTCTATAATAGTTATGCATATTTAATTATTATTGAAATAGTTATAAAAAATAACTATAGAAAATAATTATAGAAAATAATTATTATAGAAAATAATTATGTGTATAATTATTATAGAAAATAATTCTTGACTAATACATAATTCACATATAATTTTATAATTTTATATATATTTTTGACTAATTCACATATAATTTTATATTTTATATATTTTTGATTAATTTACTATATAAAAGTATATTTATTATTAGGCATTTGTATAGAGAATAATAATTATTTTTGAATATATAAATATTTATTTATTTATATTAATCATATAATTTATTTGATGGAATTGATGTTAATTGAAATAAATAGTATTTTCGGAGACATGTCTCTGAATTAATCTCAAAATTAAAAAAAAAAAAAAAAGAATTTGATGTGTTGTTTAAAAATATATTTCTAAATAAATTTAATAATATTTTGAAAATTTTAAATGTGCGATCCTATGAGTAAGGATATAATGAGAAATTGCTCAACTTTTTTTTATAAAGCAAATGAAACTCTAATTGGTGTACAAACAATATTAGTAGGAAAATTGGTTAGAGTCTCCGCACCTCTTTTTGGGCTGACCCATATAGATAAGGAATACACCTCTTAAATTTAGGCAATTTTTCCACACCTTTTTGGTTCGACTCATATCGTTGGAATGATAATTTTTTTTGACAGTATTATAACATTTTATTGACATGGATTGACACCTCATTGTTAACGTCACACGTCAACGGATTTAACAACCAAATCGGTGAGGCAATGTTATTTGATATAAATCCATCAAATTTGATAAACAAACTTATTTGATATATATCCTTCAGATTAAAGAAAATTCTAACTATTTCAAAAAAAAATTGAGATAATATCACACATCAACGTGTTTAATAACTAAACTTGACAGATAAACTTATTTAATACATATTCATCAAATTAAAAAATATTTTAATTTATTTTGAAAAAATTGAAATAACTTCACACAACTTAGCGCGTTTAACAACCTAGCTTAACAAACAAACTTATTTAATATATATCTATCAAATTAAAAAAAATATATTATAACTATTTCAAAACAATTGAGGTAACGTGGGACGCGTTAAACTTATGCTTATAAATTTAAAGACCAACAAACATATTCAGTAATCACTCATTTTATCCATTTTTATTCTCTTCACACAATTGTCTAGTTTCACTTTTAATTCCTAAACTATTATAAACATTTCTTAAATGTCAAAACTCAAACATAAATAAGAGCACCAACATCAACTAAAATGTATCACAAGACTTTTTTTTTTTTTGAAAATATAAATAAATTCAAATTAATACTTATTTTGAAGTATTATTTTATTGACTAGTATTTTTCTCTTTTAATTTGTGTAATTTGGGTGGGTATCGTGTGGATTGGTGGCAGAAGACACAACTACAACACAAATACAGACACAGTACTTGTAACTCACAAAATCTTCTCTTCAATTCATCACCACACTCCCAATCTCAACAACGATTCGCTTCAACCTTCTATCGTTTTCAAATCTCACCACTTTCCATTCTTCAAGGTTTGTTTTTTTCTAACCTCTTTTTATCTTTCTTAATTTGGGGTGTTTTCAACTCTAACTGGCCTCAACATAAACCTCTCGCTCCCAATTTTGAATCTTTTTGGGTTTTTCTTTCTGGGTTTGGTTCATTTTTTATGGGTTTTGCTTTTTGTTACTTAATTATGATTTATCTTGTGCCTGGAAAATTTTTGATTGAAAAAGGAGGGTTTTTTTCCTTTCTGATTTACATATGTTGCATGTCCTTCTTGAATATCTTGGTCTAAATTTTACTTTAGGTTTTCAATTTTCATTAGGCTTTAGTGATAGATTTTTTATTTTGTGCAGTTTTTGGGCTTATTGTGAAGTTCTATCTTTGTCCTATTAGGTGGTTATGTTTATGATGAATCTTTGATTTTGAACTTGTTGCATGAGATTGAGATTAGCAAAAAATCCTAAGCCTTGGGGATAATTTGGGGCGGCTACTAGGGTCAAAGATTTGATTACAGTGGATTAGCAAAAAGGCGTATTATGAGAAATGAGTGTCAATTTTTATTTTGAATATGGATATACCAATATACTATGACAGTTTACAGTTTTCCTTTTCTTGTTTTGTTGGATTGAGAATTTTGAATGAACTTAAATGGATTGATGGTTTATTTTGAGTCACTCATCGTAGTCCAATCCATATGATCGCGAGGGTTCATATACCTTAAGCTATATTTGAATCTATGGTAATGACTGAGACTGACTTATGCAGTCTCTTTTATTGCACTTTACTTGAATTCTATAGAACATGGAAGTAAGCAAACTTGCTATAGTCTATGCTCTCTTTGTTGCAATAATAGTTGTCGTGTTAAATGATTGATTAACTAGGTATGCTAAATTAGCACACAAATATGTGTGTTGCATGGACCCTTTGGCTTTTGTTCCTTTCTTTGATTTTGGCATTCTGAAGTCTGAACTTGAGCTGGCTTTTCTTATCATCCCTTGTACTTGCGCTCAGGGAACTAGTGAACGCTTATTAAAAATTGTGACTAAAATTTGTAAAGCACAATTGTGTTGTGAATTTATATTGCAACAAATCGTGATCATGTTGTGATCGAGGAGACTTCAGTAATCTTGATGTTTATATGATGTCCCATATAAAATGTCAACTTTCAGCTATAATTGCATAGACTACTACCTTCTGCAAAAAATTTCATTTCCTTTTCCGGGATTCTGTCTTGTCTCTGCATAACAGTGCATACCATGAAGCTGCTGTATCTTGAATTCTGCTAACAGTTCTTGTTCTGCTTCCAGATTTGGACAGAGTGCATGTGAAAGTGAATCAGGAAACCATGACTTCTTCTTCACATGATCCCACAGGTATTTACATGTAGAACTCCTTTATCCAATTATTATTTTAAGCTACTACCTTTTTTATTTGTAATAAACAAAATACAATCATTTCCCATTATTGAAAAATTTAAAGAAAGTCTATTGTGCATTTTATCTTCAAATGTTGACTTTATTAAAAGAATATCTCTTTTACTAAACGCAAATGTTGAACTTTTGTGTTCTTAGTGTATTAGTGTATGGGATGTTTCTGTATTCTGGTTGTTGTGTATGCTCTTAGCATAGTTTCATCACCCATTTATTCTCTAGGTGCTTTTCTGTTATTGTCTTATTAATCAAATTTTTGCATTGAGCTTCTTTGCCATGCTATCTGAAGTTTTATGTTTTTCTTAAACCGATGACTTTGACCTATCCCCTGGCCCCAAAAGAGTGCAAAATGTAATATCTGAAGCCTGAAGTTATCAAACAAATTGTTGTCCAGATAACGAGGCTGATGGACAGGAGCAGTCAGAATCACAGATGCAACCTGTATCTGCAAATGGAATTTCTCACGCTGGTATTGATACTCAGGTTGTTCAATACGGACCACCTCCACAGCTTGGCCCTGGACATGCTATGGTATGAACTTTTAACTGCTGTTCTTTTCATTTTGTCTTTAAAAAACGCACTATGTTTGTTTTGTTGTTTGTCATCCTCGGCTCTCTCATCGTACATGGCGTCTATCTTTAGGAAAGTTTTTTGTTTAGGCCACAATCATTCGATGCCATTCATCTCGTTGTAGCTATCGCAGAAATACATTGAGTATTCTTTATTATGCCATTGAAGAAAATTGGTTCTGAAATCATGATATCATATTTGTTTCCTAAGTTTGTTTACAGCGGGGAGTTTGGAGTGGAGGGGAAGGAATCCTCCCTTAAGACCTTTAAAACCTTCCAAAATCCTCCCAATACATTTTTTAGTTCTCTCATATTAGAGGGTTTTAGTTTTATGAATAATAGTAACTCCCTTTGACTTCCACTTCCTTCATCCTTTTTGGGAAATCCTTCTCCTTTTCTCAAAACTCCCAAACAAAGCCTTCAAAGTTCACTATCAAGGGGGAAGAACTAAGCCACTTAACTACTTTATGGAGCATCTCATACTACTCAATGTGGCACAAAGATATGGCATACTACAACAGTTCGATACAATGATAAGCTGATTGAGGAACAGTTCAATACTACAGGATTTTCCTTCTGTTTTTCCGAACAGTAGGCAGAGATTAGCAACGAACAGCCGAGCAGAGCCATGTGGTTACAATTTGGAAAGGCGGCGTGATCATGTGGGAATGTGGTTGTTCCAGTGAGACCCGCAACGATTGTTCTTTGAGAGCACGAGTGCGGTTGTAAGGAGGCCCTGTTGTGGTGCTGCATGCAATTGTAGCCTTGCGATGACTCTGGGTCATGCTGCATATTTGTGTTCCAATTTGGCCCTTTCTTTTATGTGACAGAATGAACACAAACTCACCATTCTGAATTTCTTAGGAGAAGTGGTGGAATTAGCAAAATCTTAGGAGAAAACGTGGAATTAGCAAAATCTTAGGAGAAAACGTGAAATTCTAACAATTAATGGTAAAAATGGGTCGTTGTTTCCGATAATTAGAACCAAAAAAATAACAATTGTTTCTTATAATAAGAACTACACTTCTTAATGCTAGGATTTCTCAATGGTCTTAGAAACTGTTTTTCTTTTCAGCACTGTAGGATGGCTTCAAGAATTTTGATCTTACATAATGCTGAATTAATTACATAGAAGTACTGGTGCAAAGGTGCCAGTTGTGTTAATGTCATAGAAGTAAGAAGTGACTCCTCAGACTTGGTTGAGTGATTAAATTACACTAGTTCCTGGAACTTTGTCGTTTTTTCTACATAGCTGTTTTGTGTTCTATCCTATTTTAAAATATGAACTTTTTTGTACTTCACTGATTTCTGTTGCTTTTGCATTATATTAAAGGTGCCACCTGCTTATCCATATCCGGATCCCTACTACAGAAGCATGTTTGCTCCCTATGATGCACAAGCTTATCCGCCACAGCCCTATGGTGGACATCCAATGGTTCATTCTAATCTCCTGCTATCAATTTTTGTGATGTATGATGGCTTCTTGTCAAAGCTATTTTCTGATCCTCATTATTGAACCATATCCTTTGCCAGACCAATCTTCAGCTAATGGGAATTCAGCATGCTGGTGTTCCTTTGCCAACTGATGCAGTCGAGGAGCCTGTGTTTGTCAATGCAAAACAGTATCATGGTATTTTAAGACGCAGGCAGTCTCGTGCTAAAGCTGAATCAGAAAAGAAAGTTACAAGGAATCGCAAGGTATGCCATAATCCCTTTCTTTCAAATGACGCCAAAAGTTGATTTTGATGAACTTATTTCACTCCCATTCTCCCATGCATCATTTCTGGATATACTTATTTGATCTTTAAACCAATATTTCAGCCATACTTGCATGAATCCCGACACTTGCACGCACTGAAAAGAGCAAGAGGATGCGGAGGTCGGTTCCTGAATTCAAAGAAAGATGAGAATCAACCGGACGAGGTTGGATCAGCTGACAATTCACATTCCAATATCAATCTCAATTCTGATAGAAATGATCTCGCACCATCTGATAACAATTCTTGAAAAAAGTCAAAGAAATGGTGATGCTATGGATATCATGAGACAAATCACCAACCAATCAACAGCAACCTCAGATATATCTTTGCTGATGATGTTTCATTGTGGCAGTGTACAATCCCATATGTATAGGTATAGGTTTTGTGTGGTAGCTAAATGTTAGGGGGGGTTGCAAGACAAAGCATGTAAAATGTAAAATGAAGTGATTTAAGATCAAATGTTATCTCCAATGTGATCCTTTCTAGCCTTTGTAGGTCAGATGATAGGTGAGATTATTGTTGTATGGCCATTTCTTTGTACTATTTGGTACTATGAAGAGATTAGAGATTATCAAGAGTCATTATGGTTTGTTTGGATCATGTTTGTTTAGCTTGTGAAGAGTCAGATTAGCTATTGTAGAGCTTTTTCATAAACCCAGGAAGATGTTAGATTAGCTTCTAATTTAAGAAAACTTCCCAATCAAAATATGTTAATAATTTTTCGCTTAAGACTGTCTTTAAAAACTTATAGGTGTTTATAGAGAATTAAATGGAAGAATTTGATGCAAATACAATCAATCTTACAATAACTAATATTTTTAAATAATTTGTTGTATTTTTTTTTTTTTTTTGCATCTGAAGGAAAAATAGAATAATTTACTATTGAAAAATATTACTTAAAAAGTGTTTATTCTTACAAAAATCACTTGGAGATGGTATTGTGCCTGGCTGAAGTGAAGTGCAATGGACTAGTCCAGCCTATTTTTTTAGGGCATTGCTTAAGGTAATTTCTCATCCCACCCTTACTACTTTTTCCGGTCTCTGCGCGAAATTTTTAAAATGTCCCCTATATTTAGAGATGCATCTCCGAACGCACTAAGTTTCATTTTTTTGAAAATAAAATTTGGAGATGCACAACTGAAATCAAGTTAATGGTTAGTTCAGAGTTGCATCTCCAAAAACACCTTTTTTTAGGTAAAAGAAATAGTTCGAAGATACATTTCCGAATTAGATGGGCTTATTTAAAGGTCGCGTCAGACCTTCCCTCTTCTCTTTCCTTCATTTTTTAGAAAAGTAAAAGTTTCTCTCTACCTCCCTCTCAACCCGTTTATAGTATACCCTCAAATCAAGTTTTGAAGCTGCATTCTTGTGTTTCTTATCATTCTTAACTCCTCCTACCTACTGCATTCAACATCAGAGCACTCTACACCCTCACCAACACATTTAAGAGTAAATTTCTCATTTAACTTATATTGATTTTTGATTAATGTATTAACTCAAATGTACTAGTTTTAATGCATTAGATAGCTTAAATAGGTTAGTGTACAAGTTTGGAGACTCTTTATACGATTTGGATGAGTTTGGCTGGGCTAGGATGAGCCGGGCAATTGCAGAAACAATTCTGCCATTGAAGCCGTCGAAGCTTTATTTCGAATATGCATATTCAAACTGTATTGTTCTAGATTTTCGAATATGCATATCTGAAATCGTTCCTTCCTCTTATTTTTGTTATGTTTTTTTCTTCATGATGACTGAAAACCAAGAAAGGTTGAGACTTAGACGACCCACCCTGTCTGCTTCTGCTCGTCGCGAAAGGGTTCGTCAGCACGAGCATGATAAAGTCGTCCCCCCTCAGCCTCAGGATAGGGAGGCGTCGGCTCTATGAGTAGTTGGCTATCACAGGATTGGGATCCCAAAGTGGTGTTGTTTACCGTGAATTTTGATAAATAATCGCTAGTCTTCCAAATTCAATATTTTGGTTACTCAGAGGTGAAACAACCGGTTGAAAATCATCAGACAATGAAGTCGCCATCGAACGTTTTTTATCTCACATGAAGGGAAAGGTAAATATCAAGAAAATCTGAAAAGGAAGAAGTGTCTTGTAACCGAGAGATCGGGTAAGAGAGTCTGTTATGTGAGGAGAAGGTATTAACACCCCACACGTCCGTAGTACTCTACAATATCCACTCTAGTTATCTATCTTATGAGTGTGTTTAATCTATGCTTACTGTTTACTACTATTGAGGAGGAATGCATGCAAAAGGAATGAGAAAATAATGTAGGGAAAATAAAGTTGTGCTCGCTTGGGCCCTACCCCAATGCCTACGTATTCTTTTTGAGGAATCAAAGTTATCGTACTTTGGCTCACATGTTTTATTTATTTTTTATTTTTTATGAACAATGTTAATTTCGTCTTCTGCCGCAGCTCGACCTTTGGAGACTCACACGTTGACACAAAAGTAAATTAACATGCCCTTACTTGAAAATGATTTTAAGTTACGCCCTTTAAGAATTCTTATCTTCAGAACCTTGTTACTAGAAACATAAACTCTTTAGCATATGGACTTTATTTAGAAACATTGTCTTTAGATCTTTTAACTTTGTCTTCTTTGGAATAAGTTGTCTTTTAGAAACTAAGTTTTTAGCATCTGGACTTCAGTAGAAACTTTGTCTTCAGATCTTCTAACTTTGTTTCTTGAAACACACTGTCTTTTAGAAACACGAGTCTTCAACATTTGGACGTAAGTAACAACTTCTGTCTTCAGATCTTTTGATTGTTTTCCTTACAACACATTGTCTTTAGAAGCTTAAGTATTCTGCATCTAGACATAAGTAAGAACTTTTGTCTTCAGGTATTTTGACTAGTTTCTTCAGACAAATATCAGGGTTTACACTTCAGAGCATTCTGGAGTGTCTTGCTACTGTTCAACAGAACCTGTGTAGCATAGAAGCGGAATCAATTATCTTCTAACATCTTTACCACACCATTCATCAGAAGCAGAACTTGTTTGTTAAGTACTCAACAATAACAAACATTACTATAAAAAATTTGTTCATGGAATCATAATCATTTGTTATCATCAAAACTCATAGATAATATTACAGAACCAAATCTTGTTCTTACAATCTTCCCCTTTTTGGTGATGACACAATTTTTATATATAATCATAATCAGAGAAACTAAAAGAGTAAGAAATACTTATCCTTTTTATGATACTCCCCTTGAGTCAATGGCTTGATGAAGACCGAATATACTAACTCTGAACCATAAGAGTAAAACCCCCTAGTTCCCATTGATCAGATAACAAGATCTTGAGATTCTTGACTTCAGGAATTTCATACAGTCTTCAACTTCTGATTTTCTATGTTCTTTTGGAAGACACATGCTTCTGCCTTTGATTCTTATATTCTGTTTATCACATTCTCAAACATTATACATCTTCTGAATATTATGATACCAAAATCAAGATAACTTTAACTTTCAGAAAGTTTTCAACTTCTGAACAATATTGGGTCTATTTGAATCTTTAACATATGTTCATAGAGTATACATCTTCTAATATATGAACAAACGGTTCTTAAGAACTTTAACAAAGTTCTTTCATTTTGACATGTCTTAGAATGCCTAGTAAACTTGTTCAGAGTTCCTCGGTTAATTATCAAACAGACAAGCACACGTTAGTGGTAAATGCATATTTATATCATTCTATTATTATGATGAGTTTTTGCATTTCTTTAAATTCATCAAAATATTATTATACTTCCCCCCTTTTTGTTATCATAAAAAAGATAATTATGTGGAAAGACAAAAGATTTTAAAAAGATTAAGATAATATGTCAACTAATTATGAGGATAATTTATCCAAAAACGAAAAATACAGACAAGGAATCTAAACGACAATCCTATTGTCTAGTTTCCAGAAGTTGGACGAGTAGATGATGTAGGTTCAAATATTTTTGCCAAAATCATCTTGAGCATTGTTTGAACAAATTCATTGACCTTGTCCTGAGCTTTGAAGTATTCTATGAACATTCCCTGTTCTTCCTTTATTTCATTAATGCCTATTTTTACATCACAGTCAGACTCAGTTGGATACCATTAGGTCTTGCTGCTTTCCTTTTTCTTCAGCAACCTTTGCAGCTTCTGCAGCCAATCTGACTTCTTCTGCAGCTTTAGCTTCTTCTTCTACTTTCAGTCTTGCTGCTTCAGCTTCAGCAAGTCGAGCTTTCTCTCCAGCTTCTCCTTGCTTGGCAACAATTAGTTCAATATATTTAACTCTTTCTCTTTCTTCCTTTCTTTCAGCTACCATTTGAACATCCCCAATTTTGAATGCTTCAACGAAGGAATTCATTCGATCAACCTCAGAAGACATCCACTTTTGAAACTTCTTCCAAGAACTATCCATGTTTTGAGGCTTAATGCTTGTGCTTGCCTCTTCCTTTAACTTGACAATCCTTTTTTTATCCTTGATTCTAAAGATGTTAATGCATTCATCCAAGTTTTTAGAAGAAGGTTTTTCATAAATAAACAAGGCTAGGTTGAGTTCAGGATGGCTTGGTTCAGAAGTTTGTTCATGAGAACTTTGTGGTAAAGGTGCGTTAATATTGAAAATTTTTGAACAAGTGAAAGGTTCGATTGAAGAAATTTCAATAGCTTCCTGATTGTCAGAGATTGTTCTTTCTGATATTTCGAGAACAGAAGGAGAAGCTGGATCAGGATGAATGATGGGTGAGTCATAAAGAGTGGTTTCTTTATTGAAGAAGGCAAAATGAAGATTGGTATTGAAGGTAGAAAGGTGAGAGTCTTGTGGAAGTAATTGAGATGAGGTTAATGGAGAAGTGGAAGTATGTATTGGTTCTGATGGAATAAAGGTAGTGAAAGATGGAATAGGATTTGAAACAGGAGCTAGTGTTGTGGTGGTGTTTGAAGTAGTTGGAATATTTACAATTGGAAAAGAAATAGAAGTGGTAATGGTGGATGATGGAACAAAAACTGATGTTTGTGTGATTATGATTGGAATAGATGAGACTGCATCAATAATTTTAGAAACAGATAATAAAACAGATACAAAAGTATCAACAGACTTACTAGTTGTTACAGAAGTTTCATTTCCCAGAATGGAATCTTTGAGAAAGTTAAATTTCTTTTTATTTTTCTCTTTCTTCTCTGGTTCATAAGCATTTTAGCTTCTGTTCCTTTTACCAACAGAATAATCAACTCCATCATCAGGCAAATCTGAATAATTA